CCCCAAAAACACATTAATATGCAAATTAGATTTAGTTTATAGATACATTATATATAATGAGAAAACCTGTTTATGGTCATTTTACACACATTTTGCATAAAGAAAAATGGTATATCTAATCATTCTGTTATAACATAGTTGAGAATTATCTTAATATTTTATATATCTTTAAGTTTGGTAGGGCCATTTTCCAGAACGGGACCCTTTTGTGTCATTTATTAACATGCATCAATATTAATTTATAGGCATTTTTTTTAACTTTTCAATGGTTTAAAATGGTAGTTTGTCTTTCTATATATTTTCAATACATTCTGTAAAGCTCAATGATATATGTTGTGTTCCATGCAACAATCTTGTCTTTTTCCCCCATTTATTAAAATGTGTTCTTTTATCAAGGACAATTAAAATTTGTCAGGGGACAATTATAAACCCCGTTATTTTTTTAATTAAACGATTACTGAAAATAGATATTTGTAAAAAAAAAAAAGTATCTGTATCTCCAACAAATACCAAATAGTGTCCTGAATTTGAGCAGAAGGCTAGTAATGTCAAACTACAACAAAACTGTTAATCTTGTTAGCAATTAAATAACAGCATGACTGGAGATTGAAGAATGCTTTGTAATCATTTATTAACACTAATTCACCCTATGCATTGCATGAATTGGGTGGTTTATGTATATCTGTGATGAATTACTGTACTCACGGGACACTGCGTCCTCAATCTGGGTGACGTTGGCGAAGTGGGCTGTGTTAGGAATGCCCAAACAGCGCATGCCGTGAGCGTGACGCCACTCCTGCAGCACAGAAAACCAGGAACACCACAGCTGTTATAGGCTTTTCAATACAGCACAGCAGTTACAATTACTTGTTCATTTACATTTGTTTCTATACTTTACTGTGTAACATACTAGCAGGTATTTTATTTCACGTTAAGAGTAGATCTCTCATTAGTGCATGATTAGACCCAAGTAAAGATGTCAGAAAACATCTGGAAACTGCATGAAAAGTCAGTAAAACCACTAACTAAATTGTAAACTGAGATCCTGCTCCATTAATATATCTGCTACATAGAATAATTTTTCTTGCAAACTTACTGCAAAGTGTCTCTGGAAGGCTTTGGGTCCTCTGTACATGTAATTCCCACAGATCTCACAGTTGTAATTGATGTTCAGGCCGTGCAGCTTGTACAGCCAGTATGGAATCGGCTAAAAACAAACAAAAGACAAGGTTAATGACACACTATAAGCGTTTTAACACTACACTGTAAAAAATGACCGTGAATTTAACAGTAAAAGACTATAAAATGCTACAGTAAAAACCTGTTAAATGGTTAACAGTAAATTCCCGAAATTACGGTATTTAACTGTAAATTTAAGTTAAAACCGTAAAACCTAAAATGTTGCTACCATGTTTTTTACCGTAAACTTTTTTTTTGTTTTTTGTACAGTGTAGAGCTGTGTGGTACTGAATATGTGAAATAGTAAAGAGTTAAATTATATAAAAAAAAAAAAAAACATGTTATTTACTAAGGCCCAGTCTTAATGGTCACTACTGTTCATTGTTTTGGAGGGACTGGAATCATCTCAATGTCGAATTTGAATTTAAAATTTAACTGAATTAAAAAATTTAATTTAAAAAACAGTTTTCTGATTCAATCCCTAAAGAACACTAGAAATAACTACAATAAATCTAAATGCACCTTTCCGTCCCAGCCGAGCGGCAGGTTTTTGGGGTTGTATATGATCTCATTATCTTCGTCTTCACTCTCACTCTCGCTGGGCTGCTCTTCATCCTCCTCGTCACGCTCCTCTCCTGTGCGCGCCTGCTTCCTCTGGACGTTCTCATGGGTCAGCTGCCTTTGCTCCTGCAGCACACAACGAAACACACCAGCTTCAGCAACATCACTGCAGACAATTCACACCAACGGCACCAAACCAAAACTATTCATTAAAGAAAAACACTAAAATACATACTGAAGGGCATTTACTTAAAAATAACAAAAAGTAAACTAGATCTGAGAACACAATGCATGAGATACAGTTTCCCACAATTCAATGTGCTTGAATTTTCTTTTTCTAATGGAACAAATAAACATAATGCTTATCATTTATCACCTGACATCAGTGTTTAACATCTCTTCTTGGCTCATTATTTGATAGGACATATGTAAATTTAGATTACAAATGAGTTATATACTTGCTGCCTAATATATCAGACCCCTTCACAGATGCCATTGTAACGATATAATCAATGTTATTTGCTTCATCTCTCGGTGGTTTTAATGTTGTGGTAGTGTATATATTCAGTGTAAATATTTTGCAAATATTAGGCTATAGTATAAATGTGAAATGAGAGGAAACTAAATATAAAACTACAGCAGGCAGACTGCTTACCCCCAAAATCTCCACATATTCATAAATCTGAGCTTCAAGAAAAGCAGATTCCTTGTTGCGCTCCGAGTCTCTGCAGACACAAGACAAGGCAAAAAACAAATGAAGAGTTGGTTTGCAAAGACAGATAACTCCATTTTTCTTTCAATTTCTTTGCATTGCAAGTAATATCAATCAAACTGCAGTTGGGTTGTTTTAAGTAATAACTTATAACAAGTACAGGTAACTTACAAAATAAAAGTTAATTGAAAGTATGCGTTTATATATTAAAAGTTTGTTTTATAGCAAAAGCAGATAACTCCACATTTCATGTTTCAGAGTTAAACAAAAACACTCGTTTAATCTTTGTAATCTCCTCAGCTGACAATGTAGACGCCTGACAAATGTTGTGATCATTCAAACGTAATAAACTTTTTTTCTCACTTCTGCTGACTGTCGTATGCGGAAGCAGATGCAGGACGTCGGCGTCGCGTGATTAGTGATGAACGCGGAGAGAGAACAAAACAAAACGCCAGTCATGAATTAGAAGCACAAAACTAGGATTTGTCCAGAAAAATGTCAGAGTATTTCGATATAAGCCAAGAGGAGACTGGTTTTCCTTTGCTAAAGTAAGGAAACTTTGCTTCCTTTGCTCCTGTAAACAAACTCGCGAGACTAGCATACGTCCTCCATCATCCGCCGAAATGCCTTCCGCGTATTACAGATAACGGAAGTGAGAGAAAAGTGTTTATTACATTTGTAATATGGATATTTTTCTTACAAAAATGCATGGATTTGCTACAGGAGGCCTTCATTCACCCCCCGGAGCCGTGTGAGGCACGTTTTATTAATGGATGCGCGCGCTTTATTTCACGTCTTCTGGAGTGGACTGTTGACAAAAAGCACCCGCTTACCCCCATTGTAAGGCTTGGAGGGGCCAGAACAATTTTGAATATAACTCCGATTGGAGTCGTCTGAAAGAAGAAAGTCATATACACCTAGGATGCCTCGAGGGCGAGTAAAACACAGGCTAATTTTCATTTTTGGGTGAACTAACCCTTGAACAGCAGCCTTGTCACCTGACCTGAATACAGCGCACTGATTTGCTAAAATGGACTTATCGGCTTCTGTTCACAAACATCAAGGGCACTTGTTGGTTTCTTCTGTAAAACATGAACTCGCGATGCCTTGAAAGTGGACAATACCGGCTTTTTTGACAAAACGTGTTTAGGGTTCAGATCGCTCTATATGCAGTGGCGTAGCGGACGGGCACACACTGCGGGGGGGCCCCGCGATAAGACGAAGGGGTGTGTTGAAAGATGATCATGTATCGACAATAGCCAGAGATATTTTCAAAAGCATTGTATATTGTCATTATTAAGAGTATTTGGCATTTGCAATTAATGTAGGCCTGTCACATTCTGGCTACTATTAGGTTACATTTATTATTAAATTAATATTACAATTAATTTGCTCCACAATAATTTCATAGCGCATACCGCATAAACATTTCATTACACCAAATACACAAAATACTGTTCTCTTTAGCAGCATCATATGACCCCTTTAAAAATGTATTTTAAAACAGATCTATTTTATCCTACAATGAATTATAGGCCTATAGCCTAAATAAAATTGTTAACACTTCAGTCATCAATGAAACTTAAGAGCAGCTTTTTTAAAGCATCGACTTTCAAAAACAACCTGTTCAACATGAAATACGTTTATTCTCATTGATCACCATGTTCGGGCCACAAGAGAAACTTTAAGGAAATAAATTAAAACAGTTATAAACCGCATATTAAGGAGGAGATTCGTCCCCCATCGTCTCGGAGAGAATTTGCGCCATTACTGCGTGCAACGTCAGATGCCGAAACAGTCATCATTTTTACTTTCACTGTCATGGTGAAAGACGTTCACCGGCATAAGTCTTGCACAAAGTTTGCACGTTGCTTGTATGATATCCACTGGCTCGCCTTCACGGTTTAAAACAGAAATATTTCCAATATTGTGACGCACAATAATGCACAGATTGCACACCACTCAGTCCACTTTTTTTTTAAAGTGCCGTTTATCGCTTTTTTGCAAATGAACTCTTCAAATATTAACTTAGACAACACCAATTAAACAAATAAATAAATAAATCTAATTTACATTTTACAGGCAAATAATGCATAAAAAGTAGGGCTTCATCACTTCAACACGAATCACAAATATTTTGTAAACAAGTCACTTGTTTCTGAACTAATTTAAAACCGAATAAATTGTATTATACAGTTCATCAATTTCAAATAGGCTTACTTCTTTGGTCCTTTGGCTTTTGGGTTTTTGGCAAACAGTGAGGGGTCCAGAGACTCCAGAGATTTGCCTTTAGTGCTGAACAGACGCTGGGCTCTCTCTTCTAGTGTACTGCAAACAAAACACACACAAACAACACGTTTGGACATTACGAACAGACTCAGGAATCAGGGACTGCCAGTCCTATGAATGTTTTATTTGTGATCCAGTGAAATGTGAAACTACAGTTAAACATGAGCAGGACAGTGTGTTCACACTCACCCTCCACATTTGAGACCCAAGGCCATGAGAGCAGACTTCAATCTGTCCAGACCCAGAGACGCCAGCTCCTGTACAGAGTGTAAGAAATTATAGTCTGCCTCGA